TCATTTATGTATACATTTGTCTATATCTATCTCGATTCGTTTTGCCTGTTACAAACAACCGTTATGTGAACAAAGTTATAATACCCTTGTGCACAAGTGCGCTCGGGTATAAAAATTAGGGAAATGGACAACCAGCACAACAAAACAACCAAGTCGAAAACAACAAGTGAGACAAAGCGATATCACAGTGTCACATACGTACCTAAGTTCCACCAACAACTTGAAGGCGAAATAAACAGCAATCAGAACATTACATAAATTTTGAAGTTTTAAATGTTAAGTGTACAATAGTTTATTTTTCAAATGTAAGTTTTTCAATGTTTTCTCATAAGTGTTTAAAGTTCAGTATCATGTTAAAAATTGCTAATTGTCATAGATTCAATATAAAATTTTCTACCTGTTTTCTTGTGTGTACAAATGTTTTGTGTACATATTAACAAATTATATTATAACAATAACGTCCTTATGTTTGTTTCTTGTTGATCATTTAATAAAGAAAACGCCCCAGAAGATGCCAAGGAGTTTGGCGAAACGTCGGGCAGCAAAGTGAAGAAAGTTTTTTCTTGCACATAAGCCAAATTGATCAAAATAGCCTAGTACAAACCAACAATAAAAACAACAAGCGTTTTTGTTTTGCGAATGTTTCGTTTTAAAGTCGTAAGTACAAATACTGTATTTTTTATTTTGTATGAAGTAAAATTATATCAAAAAATTTTATTTTACAATTTTTTTTAAAAACTTGCGTTTTACCTGCATCATTTTCTCTGTGTAGTTGCCCTTTTTGATTCTTACATGAAAATGAGAATTTAGTGCTCTAAACTTGCAAAAAGAAAATATTCAACTTCGCATAAAATGATCTTTCGGAATAAAGAGTTCGCAAATCGAATAAAACAAAAAAAAAGCTTTACCTTATATTTGTAAACGCGTATGTAGTTATGTATGCTTAAGAGTGCGCATATATGGTACAAAAAAATTAAAAAGTAAAAGTAAATACAAAGCAAAATAAAAATAAAAATAAACTCACAAGTGTACACGTGTAAGTATGTCTGCTTATTTGCAGGTTCATATAAATATTTATATTTACAACAAAATTTAAAACCAAAAGGAGAACTAACTCATATACCCTTTGGTATTGATACATATGTACATACAGATCCTCCAGAAAAGTTAGAACCGAACAAGCTTAACCAACTCACACGTACATACACCTGTATATATATGTATATATGTATATATAAATATATGCTTACTCACTATCTTATAAAAAGTAATGGCTTGAATATTAAAAAAGAAAGGCTAAACTTCACTTACATTTTTCTCTTGTCGGCAACGTAGTCCCACGAAGCGAAGAAGGCCTTCCTTGCTGTGTGCGTAGTGCTTACATGCATATGTGTACTATATATGCATATATGTAAATATGTATATGAAAAAAAAAATATTTTAATTCCAGAAAAAAACCAAAAAAGAATTTGTTCTTCGAAAGGGTACTAATTATATGACCGCAACTGTAATGCGCATGAACACAAAAACACAAAAAACAAAAATTAAGGGTTTGCAAATTGAAGTTAAGTTAATCTCTCAGCTACTAATAACTTTAGGTAGTCCAAATTACTCGCTGGAGAGTGAGTGCCAACAAAGAAAAGTAATAAAAAGTAGAACTACTATGACATTGTCAAATAAGGTTAGTTTTGTATGCTCACCACATGGTATCGATGTACCTAGCCTAATTATGTACATACATAGGTACTTAGCAGGGTTGCTGCGAATATTCGCATTCGCATTCGCAACCGCAGAGCTTCCGCATTTATTTTAACACTCGCATTCGCTTTCGCATTCGCAATAATCAATGCGGATCTTTTGCGAATGCGAATATTGAAGGGACCGTAAATAACAGTTACTTTCTTTACGAGTTAAACTTGGCCAAATATTTTTTATTCCCAACTAAAAGTCCTTTCCGGACAATAAACAAACCGCCTATCTAAATTAAACAAGATTAATATTAATAGCTGCGGTCCAAGAGACGAAGCTGCACAGCAATTCAACTTTGTTGAATTGCGCCGGGTACAACGTGCACCGTCGAGATCGCGAGCGAGATAATGGTGGTGGCTTAGCGTTCATCACGCACCACACCGTGCAGTATCGTCTTATCGAAGCAGACATCGACCGCAGGGATACCACCCTAGAATGTCAGGGCATCGCTATCCGGTCAGGCGATGTCGAGCTCGAAATATT